ATATATAATTCAGTAGGATTAATTGGATTCTTGTGTTTGCTTTTATTTTGCTAAGTTTGATATTTGAAAAGTTATTAATAGCAAGACAACTGATAAATTGACTGCTATATCATATTTGTTTGAGCACGGTTCCTGTGCCATCTCTGAAGTCTCTGGGAAAAAGAAACACACACAAATGGGAACATAGCACATGGGCTCCCCACAGTACTGGAGTGGTTCTTCTTAGCTAAATACTGAAAGTGTGGAAGTTACTTAGAACTCACTTTCCACTGAAGAACCACATACAGTCGAGCACCGAGAATGTTCTGTCCTCTCCTTTTACCCTTTGTGACTGTCTTCAACTCTTGGCGTTATCTCTCAGCCCCCAGATGAGTCTGTTTCAGGAAACACTGATTCTGGGCCTTAAGATACACTGCAGAAGCTCTTGAAATGAGTAAGCTGGAGTTGATTGGGCAGGGCTGGAACCAGGAAAACTAAGTTTGGCAGTGGAGTGGCCAAGGATCTGTTTGGTGCCTTTTCATTCTAAACAGTGATAATTGTTTTAAGCTCAGGAAGACATTTAAAGCTGATTTTTCATACAGTAGAAATTACCAGTGCTATTTTGAATATTCAGGGAAATAAGAGGGAAAGTAAATGAGAAGTTTGCATTTGTATTAGAATTCCTATATCATGCTATTTCTAAAGATTACTTACAAGTATATCTCTTGTCTAAGTTCCTAGGACTTAGAGTTCTGGTTCTTGTTTTCTGTCTGTGTACAGTAACAAAGCTCAGTTTGAACTGAAAATTTTCCCTGTGATGTAGCACAGTCAAAATGAGAAACATAAAACCATTCTTGATAGATTCACACTGTATCAACACTAATGTGTGTGTTTATGTGGGAGGGGGATGTGCATGTGTGTAGGCCTGAGGTCATCCTTGTATATCATTCCCTAGTAACCATCTACCTTGCTTTTAAAGATGACTGTTCACTAGGCCCTGGGGTCTACTGATTAAGCTAGACTGGCCATGAGTTCCATCTCAGTACCCACTTTTCCCTGCACTGGGTTATAAGTGCATACCCCTACACCTAGCTTTTTACGTGGGTGGTGGGGACTAAACTCAAGTGCATGACAGGTACTTTACTGACTAAGCGTTCTCCCCAGCCCTTAAACTTTCACAATTTATTAGCTAGTTCTCCTGACCAGGGACAAATCACTGTGCATAGTGATAGTTAACTTTTGTCAACTTGATTGGAGTAAGGAACATCTAAAAGTTCAGTGCTTGTACCTGGGTTTATCTGTTTTTCAGAGTAGATTAAGGAGAGAAGACCTGTCCAGATCTGGTTATGTGGGCAACATGATCCCATCAACTAGGGACCCAGGTGGAACAGGAGGGGAGAAAGGAGAGGGCCCACTAACACAGCATCCTCTTTATACTTCCTGGCTGCCATGCTGTCTCCTGTTCTGTCACATCCTCCCCTGTGGCCTGAAACCTTCCAAACTGAGCGAATAGATCTTTCCTCCTTTAGGTTGTTTATAGTTAAGGGAAATCTAACAAACACATTGGTTTTTGGGGACCTGTTTGCAGTGTGGGTATGAGGTAGATGAGATCATTTCTAGATTAGGAATTTAGAATCTGTGATCTTCAGATGTCTGTGTGCAGGCACATACCTTGCCCCAGAACCAAGCATACCTTAAAGGGCTGAAGCCCTTTAATTCTCTGCACACCTGCCAGGGTGTGGCCCAGACTTACCTATCCAAGGAAGGAACCTTGTCATACTGAAGATCCCTGGGCCTCACTCAGTTCAAGGGCCCTGGCAGTCTCTGTAACAGGCCTTCTGTTGGCTTGGCCTAGTTGCAGGTTGTCCTTTTCAAATGACATTTGTGGAATAACAAGAAGCATTTTTTTAACTTGAACCAAAGTTGGCAGAATAATTCAGTATGTAAACATCTTATTGAAACCATTGTTGCAATTTCACATAAATGTTATTGAAATAAGTAGCTCCGCTTTGTAGCGCATATTCTAGAATAGTGCTGTTGTAAGGTATTTGGGGAGCAATTTCTATAATAACAATATTAAAAGGTTAAGACATAACAACTGATAATACTACAATGTTAGTTTTTGATGAGAAATTACATATTAAATACAAGTTTAAGAAAAGCTCAATGCCATTATTTTCAGAAAGGTTTGAGCAGGCTTACTGTGTGCAGGTGAGATGTCAGCAGAACTCTGACAGTGGCAGCCACTAACCTGCTCCTTAACCTTTCCAGCCGGTATAGCTGAGGTGATGCATACACCTGTTTCCACTGATGCATCCCCTTTATCTGAGGTCGTCTTCTCATCACCCATGGGACACTTCCCTGTAGAAGCACCTGCTCTTTGAGGGGCACTTCTTATCTTCATCAAGAAGCCAGTGTTTGTAAAGCCATAATCCATGTCATAGCTTTTTGGTTTTTTTTTGAGGCAAGGTCTCCCTGCAGCCCCAAGCTGGCCTGGAACTCACAGAAATCCACCTGATTCTGCCTCCCAAGTTGGGCTGCCTTCTTTATGAAGCTCACATTGCTGAATGCTGGTTCTCTTACCTGCTTTTTCCATATGTGCAAACATGTGGCCCAGCATCTCTTTGCTGCTCACACTTGCTTTGTTTTTTCTCCCTTGACATTAGCTCGGGAAGAGAGACTGTATTGTTTTGTCAGCTGATCTGTGTTTACTATTGTGCCTGTAGGTAATCAATAAAATAATTAACTATTTCCGAATGGAGTGGTTCTCCGATTCTGCCTCTGGTCCTATTTCTGTTTCTTGGGTTTTCATTTGTGCTGTGCATCCCACCATTGTCTATACTTTGCCTTAATTCTCTAGTTTTCATTTTGACTGTTCTGTATTAGCTGCCTTCTTTGTTCCAAGTTTGTGTTGTTTGTTTATCAAGACTAGCTATGCTAACCCTGTCAGAGCTCTTAATGAAAATTCTGCCTGTCTCTTCTGAGGGCTGGGGTTACAAGTGTTTGCCACTGTGCCTAGCAGTTCCAAGTTTATTTATTATGAAAAAGTATTCCCAATTTATTTCTAAGTAAAAGAGTAGATTACCAGGTAAAATTAATTACTCAGGAACAGAAAGACTAGTTAGTCTTAACCGCCTTCCTCTTGCTTAGTATTTGGTCCTATATATCCTATTCATCTCTTTTACTGACAGGGCCTTATTATACAGCCCAGGCTTCTTCAAACTCATGGAGCTCCTAACTCAACCTTCTGGTGCTGAGGTGTATTATTGAAGTCTTGATTTATTCCAAACTGCCAGAATCCTTGAATATTTTTTTTTTTTCATTCTCGGTTTTTTAAAAGATTGTATTTACTTTTATTTTATGTGTATGAGTGTTAGGCCTGCATGTATGTAAGTGCAGTCATGTTCTGCAGTGCTCATGGAGGCCAGAAGAGGGCAGCAGATCTCCTGGAACTGGAGTTAATGGAGTTTTTGAACCTCCATGTGGGGTACTTTACCCCAGCCCTCTGCCAGAGCAGCCAGTGCTCTTAACCACTGAGCCAGCTCTCCACCTCCCATTCTTAGTTTTGTGTTAGCTTTGCATAAAAATTCCTAGAGTTCTAAACTTCAAAAAGTACCACGGACAAAGTTCATTCCAGGTGGATCACACTTGGAGTAATTTCTCAACTTTAAGATTGGTCTTAAGTGTTCAGTGCTGCTGTGTTTTTGTTATTATTTTCAGGTGATGAAATTAGTGAACAAGTAGCCAGAAAAAAGTTAAAGAGGATATTGACACCTTAATTCTTCGTTCATTTTGTTTTTTAACTTGACATTCCATATTTTGTGACTACGATTTCATGTATAAATATGAATTTTATACATAATGATGCCTCTTCTTGGTACCATTACTGGTTGTCCATCCTAAGGTCCAGTGTGTCATTTTCCATGATGTTGCTGGAGAATCCACTGCATCCAAGTGAAGTAGGTTCTGTCAGATAGTGCCTCGCTAGCCTGGTAGATAGGAAACCTGCTCTGTCAGACAGTGCCCAGGTAGACTGGTAGGTAGGATGATGTTTGAGTCAGTGAAGGAAAGACATGCATCTGGCTGGCTGGTGTTGCTTTCATAAGAAAAGAAATTAATCTCAGTAAAATAGCTAGCAGCTATAGTTTGAAAAGGAAATGTATTAGAATTTTGCTGTTTATCTTAAATGTCAGTTTCTGTTCCTCCTTTTCTTCCACCAGATTGGTTCATTTTTGTGTGCACCATTCTTTATTGCACACGAAACAGGGAAGACATACTGCAGTGAATGAAGATTCCTCTGCATTTTAGCACTGCTTTTCTACTGTAGTTGGCTTTTGAATGAGGATGACAATGGAAGAGATGAAGAATGAAGCTGAGACCACTTCCATGGTTTCTATGCCCCTCTATGCAGTCATGTATCCTGTGTTTAATGAGGTAAGTACACACACTTAGGATCTCTACGGGTCCTTAGTGCTGCTGCGTTTAGTCATCTGTTTTTTCACATGATAGATACTTGGATGAACTGAACTCAGGTTTTGCGTATGGAGCCCTTACAAGAATAAAAACAAATAAATATGCCACTCCCCTGTGGAGGTTAAACTATAGTGAGAGATAGGCAGTGGAAAAATTCATAGTAATTGCTAACGAGTAAAAAAGGGATTAATAGGTGGCTCTGTTTTTGTGTGCAGAATCTGAAAGAGATAAAACAAGTCGCAATAAAAAATTTAGATCTAAGTGCATTCTGGGTAACCAGAATAGAAGGCACAAGGATCATAGTAAGTTATCATTAGTGATGATACAGCCCTTGTTAAAATTTGGTGTTAGGAATATACCATTGCATTTTATCCAAAGAAGTCATGGTTACTTTCTTATTCAAGGAAGTGTCCTAGACAAGGCATTAATACATTTTTTATTTTTTTCTTAATAATTATTAATAATCAATACTAATGTATTTAGAGAGTTCTTGACATGTAAGTCCATTAGAAATTAATTCCCTCTTTCAAATGGTAAATGAAAACCTTGAATAGTGAATTTTTTTTTTTCTAAAGTACATAAAACTGGAGAGTTTAAAAAAATTTTTTTAATTACATAAGACTGAAATCAAATCTAGATGTCCTGCCTCCAAGTCCAGTGACTTCAGCCTATTTAAAGTACTTACTGATTCCTTTTTTGCTGCATGTTCTCATTGACTGTATTAGTTACTTTTCTGTTGCTGTAGTAGACACACCATGACCAAGGGAACTTATAGAAGAAAGAGTTTATTTAGCTTATGATTCCAGGGGAATTACAGTCTGTCATGGCAGGGAGGCCTGGTGGCAGAGGTGGCTGGGGCAGGAGCAGAAAGCAGAGGCTCACATCTTCACACAGGCCCAGGAAGCAAGAGAGCAACTCGAGATCCAGCAGGGCTTAAGAACTCTCTGAGCCTGCCCCCAGTGATGTGCTTCTTCCAGCATAGCCATACCTGAGACCTCCCAAAACAGTGCCGCCAACTGGAGACAAAATGCCCAAGTACTTAGCGCCTCTGGGGGATGTTTTTGTTCAAACCACCATATTGACCTTCAAGACTGCCACCCTTTCCGTTGCTGTTACACCTAGAAGGCCCACCAGGAAGTGTGTTTTCATCATTTCTGCCAAAATGTTTTTATTAGATTCTGATTCTGGAACTCATCCATCTTTCCCTTGTTATTGGGGTTCATGCAGTTGACACGTTATGATCCTAAGTCTTGGGGCACAGAAGAGTGTGATTCATTATCCTCTTTGACAAAGCAGACATATTCTAGAATTTCAAACTGTCAGGTAGTATCAGGTCAGAGACCATAAAGAAACATTGGAAATGGTGAGATAGGTAAAAGTTTCTGTCTGCGTTCTATGGAAGATTCTGGAGGAGGGGATTCCATGGCTGGTAGAAGAGGCTGTGTCATTGACATTCATACTCTGCTTTACCACATCAAGCTCTCATCAGTGGGCAGGATTGCCGAAGTGGAAGGGAAAAGGAGACAAGAGGTGGATTCTAGCAGAATCCACTTTCTTAAAGTGGCCTTTACAGAAGTCTCTCAGAAGACTCCACCTACATCTCATTTTCAAGAACTTATTTGGAAAGTTTCGGATTACTTTATTACCAAGTAGAAATCCTGTTTTGTAAAACTTGTTCTGTTCCAGTCAGCACCCTCTTAGCGCTGGTTATGTCCATCTGTGGCAGTTATCCCTAAAAGCCAGTAAGTAAATCCACCTTTTTGTTGTGGTGGTACCTTGATGCAAGTAGTTATTATTAGAGGCAAGCACTTCTGTTGGAAAATGCCAACCATCCATTTGCTTAGCCCTCCCCTAGGGTCTGAAGATACAGAGGAAAAAGCAATATGCCTTTTCTTAAGAACTTACTAAGTAGCACAGCTACTTAAAGTTACTCAACTATCTTTGTAACAGGAATGACTCTAGGAAACATCATTAAAAGTTGCTCAGTAATCTGTGTTTGTGACAGAGTTTGAACTCTTCAGGCATTCCATAAACCATCTTCATAACTCACGCAGGAGCGCTCTATTTCCGTGCCTGACCTAGCTGATTGTCTGCTGTATATATGAGTTGTTTGGGAGAAATTCTGTATCTGCCCTTCTGAGTCTTGATTTGGTTTGAGAGAAGGCAAATTTCAATTGCAGAGTATCACATTAACCCTCTAGTTCATGAAAAGAAATGAGAAGGCAACTAGGGTAGACTTAACTTTGTATGAAGGAGTTTACTGGAAGACTTGACTTTGCTGAAGAGGCTGATAAAATATAGGGTTTTAGTAAAATAAACTGTTGGAGTTAGTGTTGATAAGGTTTTGTTTTTTTTTTTTTTTTTTATTATGTTAGTCATCCATAAGAGAAGTTGACTTCAAAGAAATAGAAGTGGCTATGAATAAGCTAGTAAGTCTCCTCTCTTCTTTAAATAAGGACGGTGATGTTCTCCAGGCGAGATTGGAAACACAGGTGGCTCTGTGGGCCCAGGACTGGAGTACAGTGTAGTGATCAGTTACTGTTCTAGGAATTCATCTGCAGAAGTCAAGTTCGGAAACGAAGTGGCTCACTGTGGAGATGGAGGATGTTGCAGAAGATTGGTGTGAACTCGTTCTCATTTTCAGTTTGCTGGTCTGACATTGTATCAGACTCATTAAAAAGTCACTTGTGTATTCAGGACCATGTTTTAGGAATGGAGATATTACTACATTTTTCTCCCGACAGATGAAACCTGGTATTCGGTGGGAGAGTAGAGTAAGAGAAGCTCTGGGCCTTCTTGTGTAGTATTGGTTCAAAGTATTGTGTAGCATCCCAGTGTATTAATGAAGCATCTAAATAGCGGCTCTAATGCATTCAGTTCATATTTAACTAGTTCAGCTGTGAGTTTTTCTATATGTGTGCTAATGGAGAGATTATAGCATAGTTTGTCTTTATTTTTCTGTACTGTGTAGCTTTAGATAAAGATAAAAATAGTTTCAAATTAATCCTCCAGAAAATAGTACCACAGTAGGAACGTTGAAGATAGATGTGACTTAAACCCATAGTGTGTCATGATTTAGAAAGCAAGGCCATTTTTGCCTGGACATTGATTCACAGCAACTGTAATCTAGAAATGACCTGGTCTAGAAAATAGTCGTCTAGAGGGACAGCCTGCATGCTGGGAAATTTTAGTACTGTTATTCCAGCTTACAAAGTTATGTATGGCATTCTGAATGCTTGCTGTACTTAATAAGGCCACTCCAAGGTAGCTAAAAAAGAGCACACGTTTAATGTGCTGCTGCAGTTTAGACTCCAAGCAGTACCCATGCTGCAATGCTGTGAAACAGGCATCCATACTGTTTGGTGGAGGAACTGGCTTCTAGAAATCTCATGCCAGGCCTTAAATCAGGTTTTCTTGTAACCATGTTTCTCTGTATGAAGTGGGGGACATATGGGGGGAGGCAAGGGGTTACTTCCATGAAAAATAAGCTTGTGTGTATGTGGGAGGGTTAAAATGAAATGTGCTTTCAGAAGTGCTGTATGGCATATATTATGAAATAAACACCAAGCTACATTTCTGGATAAATAGTACAGCATTCAGAAGCTTGGCTTAATTTTTCCTAGTAAACAAATGAAACCCAGGACTACTCCAGCCTTATCACTTTGCTTTAGTCCTCCCGTGCTAGGAGGGGAAGAAATCAGACAGACTTGGAGCAGAACTTCTCCACAGTAAGTGGATGGGCTTTACTTGCAGTCTTTCTATCCAGAGGTAATCAAAATTTTGAGTGTAAATTAGTACTATGCCTGAAAAAAAAAGACTGTGCTGTCTTACCTCCATTTCCTCATCACTAAAATTGAAATAAATAATACTATACTTAGTTCTCTCAACAACCTTTGAAATATATGACTTCATATATTGTAATTTATTTAGCATGGTCACAGGCATGCTACAATTATGGAGGCCTCTTCCATACATATATATGATAAAACCGTGTCAGACCCAAGTGTTTACATCCTTGCGAGCAGTGTTTCACCAGAGTGTTTTTATAGTACTGAGATGGTTCTGTTACGTGTTCTGTCATACACTGTGCTAAATTCAGGAGCTGCCCTCCTAGGAATATAGAATATGTACAGAGCATCGCTGATTGCAGTTGCTTTCTCTGTGGCAGCACAGAAGCTGCTGGGTGACTTGAGTCTACCTGCCTCAGTTCCGAAATGCTGACTTTTCAGCCTGACTCAACACGTTCCTTTTGGATGTACCCAGAGTTTTTATTCTTGGGACTTGGCCCACTTTAATTTTAAGAAATAGGATCAATAATTCTGGAGAATGAGCTGGAAGGACGGTGTCACCATGGGAAAACCTAATCTCACCTGATTTTGAAGAAGCCAGTAGATTTTTTTTTAAATGCAGTTTATGCAGTTTGGAACTAATTAACCTAATTATTTTGACCTTAAAAAAAAGTTTTCATGAGATTTTTTTTTTTTTTTGCAAGACTTAAAAATTTATGCAACCAGAGGATTGATTGGTTGGGTTTTTTTAAATTATGGGTGTTAGAGCTAGCATGATGCTTGAAAAATATGGGAATGTACTGATACTTCTAGAGGGAACAGTGTATGAGCCCTTGATGAAATTGCAATTATATGTGAACTTATAAAATATTTTTACTAGTGAACCAAAGAGTGAAATTTGCCACTTGCAGTCAAATAATAGTAAATGTTGCAGAATTGTCCTCAGCAAGTAGAGGGACCATGGCTGCAGTCGGAAAGGTGGAGGGTCGAGTTGAGAGGCCTAGTGCTGAACCCCTCGCTCGTCCATTCCCCCTGACGTGCTTTAGCAGGTACTGCTTTTCCACCGCGTCCAGTGAAGTTAAGATGTTAAGTGTTCCTTTCTCCCATTGATTTTTTTTTTTTTTCCCACTGCCTCTTTGACATGGAAGTCTTATATGGCTGAAGCCCAAGCAGACTTTTCTTGTTTTGGTGTCTGGTAACACAAAATAGAGGTGTAATGGTCCTCCTCCATTAGACCCAAACATAATTACTAGCAATCCAGTAGTTTTGTAAAGAGGCTGGGGTTCTTAATAAAGATACTTTATAAAGCCAAAGACTGTTATCTCAAAGGTACACAGGGTTCCTTCCATTCAGTGATAAGTATCGGAAACAAAATGGGATTTTTTCTGTCCTAACCGTTGGTAAAATCACATTCTCATGTGTCACCAAGCTTGAAGAGACTGCTAAGTGGTAAACTTCTAAAGAAGATCTTAGAGGCCAGGCCACTTGAAAAGTCGGTTCAGATACCATCTCCTTCCACTTGAGCTGCTGTGGACCCCACAGCCTTTCAGCTCCTCACATAGTTCCTCTTCTGGCTACGGAAGGACTATGTAGTCTGTTCCTTTGCATCTCTTTCATTGACTTCTTACATGTGAGAGGAACTCAAGAGTTTATTATTTGTACAGAGACTCCGTGATAGTGTAGTGTACATTTCTCTGTGGAAAGTGGCAGAGGTGACTTGTATGCAGATTTGAGAACCAGGCAGATCTGGTATGAATCCTTTCTTAGTATAAACTTGAGGACATTTGTACCAGCTGAAATTTTCTCTACATAAAATTAATATGCTATCCACAGGTTTATTGTGAGATTAGGTATTCAAAAGGTAGATATTGTATATATGCTCATAACTGATGCTTAATAAAATGCTGTCGTTAGAATGCTCTCAGAACCTGCCTCTGTTGGGAGAGGGATTGGTAAGATAAATATGGCTTGTCAAGTCCTATATCACAAGTGAGAGATCTAAAAGATCTTTATGGGATAGGTAAAATACCTGAATTCCTAAGTAATACAGGGAGGTACAGATCTGAAAGCCAATTAGATAAGTTTGTTGATGAGATGGTAACTTCTCTTCAAGCACTAGGTCTGTGCCTATATTCCTGTTGCTAACCTTGAACACTGGAAGCCAGATGACATGGGCTTGCCCTTGACGCCCTTGCCCAACCTGTGATCTGATGAGCTGTACCGCCTTTTTTTTTTTTTTTTTTTTTTTTTGAGACAGGGTCTCCTTGTAGCCCCAGCTGTCCTGGAACTCACTATGTAGACCAGGCTGGCCTCAAACTCACAAAGATCCACCTGCCTCTGCCTCCCAAGTGCTGAGATTAAAGGCGTGCAGCACCATGCCCGGACCTGTACTGCCATTTTAATCTTGCATTCATTAGAATTACGTGACCAGTGTAGATTAGAAACCTTTTTCGTTGATGATAACACCTTTGTAAATTTTAAAAACTGCTGTAGTCAACTCTTTCCCATATGTGTTTACTGGGCCCCTTTGCTTTACCTTCTGAGACAATACCACATTTTATAGGCCTTTGTAGAAGCCTAGTTAAATACTGGGCTAAATGGTTTGTTGTTTATTGGGAGATAAATCGTTATTTTTGACAGATTCTTGTCCTTAATAAATAAGTGTAGTACAATTCATGGCATTTCTGCCTTGTTTACTATTAAAATATATTGACTTAAAGTACTGGAGATGTCCTAGATGTGCATGGCATTTACATGGCAAAACTGACATTTTCACTACATCAAGAGATTGATGGATTATTGGTTGCATAACAAGATACACATAAATATATTTGAGTTTCATTAGTCTAGTCCTTTAAGAGTGAAGAAATCTGGGGTCTGGAGAGGTAGCTCAGTGGTTAAGAGCACTAGCTTTTCTTGTAGAAGACCCAGACTTGGTTCCAGCCCCACGTAGTGCCTAACAGCTGTTCATGACACCAGTTCCAGGGATCTGACACCCTTTTCTGGCCTCTGAAGGCATTGCATTAAATGGGAACACTTCCATGTAGGCAAACAGCTCATACACATTAAATACGAATAAACGAATAAAAAATTTTAGAAAGAGTGAAGAAATTTAAATGAAACTAGTTATTTTAAGCATCATAGTTAATGATTCAACAAATAGCTACTTTAGGAAAATTCTATGCCTTTTTGGTTCATTGAAAAATGATATATATGAAAATGAATTATAAAATAAGGCTATCTTTTGAAAGTATTAGCCTCACATTTGATATAAAATTAAAGCTACTTGATTTAACTTTTGATACTTTTTTTGTGTGTGTGTGGTCTTTCTGAGACAGGGTCTCCCTGTAGCCCCATCTGGCCTGGAACTCACTTTGTAGACCAGGCTGGCCCTGAACTCAGAGATCTGCCTGGCTCTGCCTCCCAAGTTCTTGGATTAAAGGCGTGCACTACTATCCCCGGCAATACAATATCTTAAATAATCACTTGATTTAGAGAGGGCACATGGAAGCCACTTGAGTCCAGATGATCCAGGTTTTCAGCTTGACCATTAAACAAACCTTTTTGTCACCAGTATTTGCATATTGGGAAAAAACAGACTAAGCTTAATCCCTGGCTGAGGAGTTAGAGTAATTAAAAAGGAATAAACTAAGAACTAGACTTTAAGTAAATGTTTCCTTGTGTTGGCCATTTTATGGTCATCGCCTGTATACACGTACTTGATAAATTTCTACCAAACAGAACCATAGCTAGGGTGTCAGAGTAGTGATAGTTTAACATGAATCCTTGTTATCTTCACTTGCATTAGACACTCACATTATTTCTGTAAGGGCTTAGAATACTGTATTCTATATTCATCATAATTTAGCTTTAAGATAGAGTGCATCTTATTTTTTAAAGAAAGCAATTTTTCAAATTCCACTAAAAACTTTAAATTTTTTAAGAATTGTGGTAATTTGTAATCATTAAAACATTTGTGTTCATGAAATGATGGATTTATCATGATTCCTAGAGAGTGAAACATTAGAAATGTGTTTCTTCCCAGTAAAACTGATTCTAATCATGATTTGAATTTTTTCTTCTAGCTAGAACGAGTAAATTTGTCTGCAGCTCAGACCCTGAGGGCTGCTTTCATTAAGGTGAGTCATAATCATTTACCAGGCTATCAAAGCGTCTGTTACACTAATTGTTTTTAGTGGAAAATATTTGAAATTATTTAGATATTTCATGCCTACTTCAGTATATTCAGTTAAAGCCTTTACCCTTCAAAAGGCAAACTGCAAAGTGATGTTTTCACAGCATTGGTTTTTCCCATTGCTTTGTGCTTTTGGAAAGCTAGTTCTCTAGAGTGCTCATGCTTCTAGGACTGGACTATGTTTATACAATTATGTGCACGCTGGACAAATGGCTCAGCAATTAAGAGCACTGACTGCTCTTGCAGAGGACTCAGGTTCCATTCCCAGCACCCACATGGCAGCTAACAACTGTCCATAACTCCAGTTCCAGGGGATCAGACAGCCTCTTCTGACCTCTGTGGGCATTGAACAACATGGGTGCACTTACACACATGCAGGCAGTACACTCATACACATAAAAATAAATAAAATTTTAAAATATAACTAAGTCGTTATACTTCATATTGTTTAATTATGGGATCTAAAAATATGCCTTCATATATGGCAAATTAACCTTGCTTTGGGAATATAGTTAAGGTATTCCAAGTGAATTTCTTCATTGTCTTTAGACCTTAGCTGTTTAGTTGATTATTGCTAACAACATGTTGCTGAGCTTCTAGAAGTATGGTTGAGATGTGTTCCAACTCTAATACACATACTTGAATGACTTCATATACAAAAAAGAATGTAAAATATCTTAGTAATAACAATTTTGTATTGATTACTTGTTGACATATGATTCATTTTTAGATGCATTATTAAAAGAATTTCACCTGCTTCATTCCCTTTTTTTAAGAAATGAAGCCACTAGAAAATTGATTTGCCACTTACACAGTTGATTCCTATTTGTTGCCTGAGATGAGTTCTGTTTTATAGTTGTATTCTAGAGACTTAATGTACATGTTGAGAACCAACATTGTTGAATATAAAATGTTACTTTCTCACATCAAATATATTTCAAGGTGCCCAAAGATAATTTTTATTTACTTACTAATTCCCATCAGTAGCTAAAATAACATTTTTAAGCCAAAATATTGTAGTGCTTAAATTAGGGGTAAACTTAAATTTTTTAGTAGAGTCTACCTTTGGTAACATTTTAAAAAAAAAGTAGATGAAAGTTAGTTGATTCCTGAGGGTTTTTCTTATGTCCCTGTAACACAAACTGATGTTTCTACTTTGGAGTGCATTCGTGTCATTGTGCTGGATCTGCTCATCCGAGTTTGTCCATGGATCCATTTATTATCCATAGCAGTGGTCTTTTTTGTTTTATTTACTCTTTTTTTTTTTCTTTTTTTGAGGTGATCTCTGAGATGCCTCAGGCTGTCGTTGAACTTCTGCCTCAAATGACCTGTTTTTTGGTCCTTTTATGACCCTTTTTTTTTCTCAGTCTCTTGTGTGCTGGAAGCTGCAGGCCTCTGTGCTCTAAGCTCACAGCACTGAATCCTAATAAATAAGGGGAACTATTTTGGGGGAACTCAGATCACACAGTGATTTAGTGTTAATCTCAAATGAAATTAAAGAAGCCATGTGGGAAAAGGTGATTTTTGTGTTTTTTCAAACTTTTATGGGCTGGGGTTCGTGCACACCTTTAATCCTAGCCCTTGGGAAGCAGAGGCAGATGGATCTAAGATCTATTGTTCAAGGCCATCCTGGTCTACATAGTGAGTTCCAGGCCAGCTGGAGCTAAAGGGAGACCCTATCTCAAAAAGACCAAAAAAAAAGAGAGAGGGAAAAAAAAAAAAAAAACTCTTTTGACAAAGGCAAAGAAACATTACCTAGCTGCCTTTTTGTGTCTGGTTCTTGGCTTATGCAGTGATTTTTTTTTCTCCCCCCACTTTATTGTCCTATTTTTTTATTTGGAGATGTTAATTTTTTAAATGTTAATTTTTTTTAAATGTTAAATTTTTTTTCCCCAAAATAAAATTGTCACTGAATACTTTCTTTTCAGATACATATTTGCTGGATTACTCATTACACTGGCCCATTCTGGGTGTTTCTGATAAGTAGCACTCTCTTCTAGGCTGGGAATCACTGGTCTACAAGCCTGTTCCTTTATACTTAAGGATGTTTTTCTCTTGCATTAGATTCTTTGCAAGATTAGGTGCCCATCAAGTTCAAGGTTGAATCCTTGGAGTATAAAGGTGCAGATATGGTTTCTGTTTTAAAAGTAGAGCCTTCAGAGGCATTTGGTAAATTGTAGCTTTTAAAATAAGTAGCTGAGGCCCTATAGCGTATTCATAGGTCTTCTATGAAATATTTTAACATTTTGAGCATAAACAATGATACTCAACATCTGCTTTCACTGAACTGACCTGGAAGTAGCTTGTGATTTCAGTGTACAAGATTGGTCTGCATTCCTTTCATCGGTGTCTCATGTTTGCGACAAGTACCAAAGAAATCCATGTGCAAGAGGAAATGAGAGCAATGGGTTCAGCCTGAGTCCAGTGTATAGAAACTACAGTGCTCTATAGTACAAACAGCCTATTAACAAGTAGCCAATAATAATGAAATAAAATCTTTTTTCTTTTGTTGTATGTATAGGATTATTTTTAAGGTGCCAAGTTGTTAGAACATTCTACTTTAGTAAGTTATTTATTACCTGAACTACCTAGTAAACAGCATCTGACACTAAGAAACTGAACTGAGAAAGTTCAGAGTCTCTGTGAGACTGTGCATTCTCCAGTGTGGCATATTTTTTTTGTGTGCCAGACCAAACTAGTATTCAGAACTTTTTGTTCAGACTTAGAGCATTTCATTCATTCAGCACTTTAATTAGTGAGATGTTTTTCTGCTGATATTTCCTGCAGGGTCATAGAGAATGCTCCCTGCCCCCAAGGTAATTCATTATGTAGGTAGATTTAATACTGCTTTGAGAAGGAAGATAAACCACCCTACCACAGAAGGAAGATAAACCATCCTACCACACATGCATTAAGTGTAATTTTTGACAGTTTAGCAAATTAATACTGTAAGAGCACATCAAGCCATATTTGAACAATTTTTCTTTAAAGGTAACTCTAAAAAAATAAACGGGCTGGAGACTGGAGAGATGGCTCAGCAATTAAGAGCACTGGCTGCTCTTGAAGAGGACCTAGGTTTGGTTGCCAGTACCCACATGAGGACTAACAACTGTCCATAACTACAGTTTTAGGGGATCCGATGCTCTCTTGTACACATGTGGTACATACACACACACACACACACACACACACACACACAAATTAAATAAAATCTTAAATATTCAGACACTTTATTATTAAACCATTTATCCAAAGTGATCTTTTCTGACTAGCGTTTGACATCAGGTAAAGTGACCCCAAGATGAAGATGAAGTGTGTGTATTTTACTGCTTTTTCCCGTTTCCGTCAACAACTTCTCAGGTTTTCCTGCTTGAGATCTCATGAGAACTGAGGTGTTAGAATGGACAGAGTAGTCAAAACAGGAGAAAGCTGGATCTGCACTGACATCAGAGTGCAGAGGCAGAGGTTACAGTACTTGACACCCAGGGAAGCAGAGCACTTGCCATCAGATAGGGATCGCTGGTTAGTTATGTTTCTGCCTGTTTACTGGGGCAAGAGGGGCAAACCATCAGCACAGATGGGCGTAAACCGAGACAGACTTTCAGTGTGGTCAGGAAACATTTTTAGTAACAAAACAGGCAAAGATTACTGAGAAACTGACATGTGAAAATTACCTGTGTATTCAGTCTTGGCATGGCCAGAGTTTAATGCCCTAAGAAGTGTAAGTAACAGAAGGAATGCACATTTATTAGCAAAACAGGCTCAGTAGGTGGTATTTTGAAAATCATTGAAGGAAGGTTCCTGCTATAAAAATAAAATAGGAAATAAAAATTGCTGTGTGGAAATATATAGTTGAAGAGACTAAAGCTATTCTACCAGTTTCATTTTGATTTTCCTGGCATTTTGTTAATTTTAATACTATATATATATAAACCATCATTGATAGAGTTATTGCTTGTCCTTAAGTTGCAATGATACCTAAGTTAAAAATCCTCAGTGCATTTTAGTTCATGAAGAGTAATTGATGAAATATATATGGGACACACACATATTATATGTATGTATATATGATTTTTGCTTCTAGCCTTACTGTTACATTAATTGCAAGAAAATATAATGGAGAGACAGGCAGAAAATACTCAATTCCAATAGAACTACTGTTCAATGAAAAATAACCGTAAACTTGAAGCTACTAGTGCATAAACTGAACACAGCCTAAGTGCGTGTGCTTGGGGGTACCTGCTCCCCCAGCACTTTTACCAGTGCTTTCTGTCCATGAAGTGATCTGCCTAAGACAGTGGATAAGTTCTGAACAGTTAAATTTCAGCTTTAAAATACTGATTGCATTTCTGTATTTCAAAACTATCACTGTTTTTCTTGCAGGCTGAAAAGGAAAATCCAGGTCTCACACAAGATATCATTATTAAAATTCTAGAGAAAAAAAATGTGGAAGTTAACTTCACGGAGTCCCTCCTTCGTATGGCAGCTGACGACGTAGAAGGTATCAACAAAGGAGCTGTGCTCTTTTCCAGTTCTTGGAAAGCTCTTCCTTCCTTCAGTCATTTCCATCTGACCAGCGTCATGTTTCCCATCTCCTCTTTCCTCAGGCTTCTTCCTGCAATGATAGTGGAAACTGTCTGTACAAAGTAGACAAGCAGTTCTTTTAGCTTTTTGCATTTGTCAGATTTAATTACATGATTTTATTTGTTGATGCTGCATGCTTTGACTATTTTACCCATTAATAAACTGTTTGATAAGTTTTGAGGAATATTTTAGTTTAAGCTGTGTTTGAAAGAGGTAAGCCTTTTGTTTTATTTAAAAACAGTGTAGCATTTCTTTTTTTCAGAACAGATTTGAATATAATCATTCTTTTGATACTTTGCTTTTCAATAGATTAGAAATGGGTTTCACCTAAAATTGATACTACTTTTTTATTTTAGAAAAATATATGAGTATAGTAGCCTACATGCATTATTGGAGATCAGAAGGAAGGTATTCAAGCTGATTTCATGAATTGGCCCTTCCTTGGATTAAACACCTGTTTGCCCTCCTCCATTGAAATTGTAGAGTTGCTATGCTTCCAGCTAGACACTGAGCCTGGTAGTAAGCCCGTGTAGTCTCTGCCAAGACTGACTGAGCCTTTATAGAATTGCTGTTCTGTAATCCTGGCCTTGAGTTGGATTGTGGTGATCTTTGTTTTTAAATGAAATTTCAAGGATGTACTGAATATTGTTAAGTTGTTGGAAATTTTAATACAATGAGTCATGGTATGTTCAATACTGTAGAGGTTTTAAGTTACTGAACTTACCTGTCTCACTCAGATTACCTTGGCATTCTTCATGAATTTCATTATACAACTTGTAACTGGTTCTTGGCTTGATAAAGCCTACCCTCCTTTGGGTGAGTGGGTAGATGGATGGATGGATGGATGGACGGACGGATGGATGATGGGTGAATGGATGGATGGGTGAATTTTTAAGATTTTATTAGGGGGGATGGAGAAATTACTCAGTGGTTAAGAGTACTGATTATTCTTGCAGAGGACCTGGGTTCTGTTCCCAGCATCCACATGGTGGCTAACCACCAACCGTAACTCCATTTCTAAGGGGAATTTGATGCCCTCTTTTGGCCTCCATGGGTATTGCATGCACAGGTTCACTTGGATGCAAGCAGAATACTCATACACATAAAGAATAAATATAAATAATTTTTAAGAATGACTTTATTGGCTGTTTACATTTGTCTCAAATTTCAAGTTTTTAGACTTATTCTGTTTTACTTCAGGGAAGACCAGGTATATCTGAACTAGGTTGAACTCCCATGAATTCTTTGTCTTTGTCTTTTCTAATTAAATCTTTCTCCTCCTCTGTCCCTCCTTTGACCAACATTGGGAAACTCATAGACGAGTTTGTAAGGGAGCCAAATGACATTTTCTATTATGTATTTGTTTTATCAGAGTACATGATTGAACGACCAGAGCCAGAATTCCAGGACCTAAATGAAAAGGCACGAGCACTTAAACAGATTCTCAGTAAGATCCCAGATGAGATCAATGACAGAGTGAGGTTTCTACAGACAATCAAGTAAGCATGATTTTTGCTTTGCCTTGTTTAAAAATAATTCGTGGGAATCATTAATTCTAATTTTTTGTATGAAATTTAATTAAAATATTACTTTGCACTAAAATATGAAATGTTTGAATGCTATTAACTTTGAACATAATTGTTTCAGAGTATACTGATCTTTTTGAAGTGTTTGAATACAGTAATGAATGAGTGAACTAGTGAATGAAATATGATTGTAAATTAAACTACATAAGTAATAAGAAAGTATATATTTCAGATGAAAACAAACACTATATAAATCATAGCTTGGCAGTAAGAGATACTAATATTGTTTTTATTTCAGTAATGGTATAAGCCACTGGAACACGTGAATACATAAACATGAATAGCATCTCTCCAATACTGACTGACCAACCTGAACCTCTGCGTCCTTGCTTTTGGATTACAGGTTAAATGAGACTCAGGCTTCTAGGAGGCTGACTGGAGGCAGTAGGTAAAAACTAGTTCTAGAGCTCTGGGCCTCAGACTTGGCTCCCACCCTCCACTGAAGAGTAGAGGAAGCACATTTTTCTAATAAGTAATTTTTTTGAGCCTCAGTAGGTAGATAACAAAGCAAACTGGCATAACTATAGTATTGGTAATTGATGCAATGTTGTGGGAAACCATAACTAGAAATGGCCATCAAGAAGAGCTAATAGCACGTCTCTCTGTGACGTGTGTCACCATGTGAGCATCTAAGGAGAGGCTCACTTGGAATAAATATTAGCTTTTATCTTTCAGAAATACTCTGCGTAACTCATGTTGTAAAATGCTGTGTTAAGTATTTGGGGCCCCTGCTCTTGAGTAGTAAAGAAACAGGAACAGGACAATGTCCTGTTGTAGAAAGTGGTTTGTGACAGGTATCCAAACCAGCTATCGTGAATGACTCTTCTGACAGCAATTGGAGGACCAGGAATATGGAAGAAGGTGTTTAAATATAGAGTTGTGTTTAGCCTAATTCAATTGGGTTACTGCAATTGTACAGCACATGAATGGGTCACTTGCTTGCTTGGTTGTTTAGATTATTTATTTGCTAAGTTTTTCTGATGTTTTGATACAATTACTCTTGTGTGTGTGTGTGTGTGTGTGTGTGTGTGTGTGTGTGTGTGTGTGTGTGTTTGAGATAGGCTTAGACTTTACCATGTGGCCTGGATCTTACACAGATCCACCTACCTCTGCCTCCTGAGTGCTGGGATTAAAGTTGTGTGCCATGCTGCCTGGCTTGCATTTACTTTTGATAATTATGTATTTGTTGATAAAGTTACACAATGCTGCAATGAAAATTAACAGAATCATTTTCAACATATTCTGTTTCAAATCACTGAAATAGAGGTTTAAAGAGTCAGCGAATTTTAGAATTAGCAATCACTTCAATGAAAACTGTTATATTCTAAGCACCAGTTCAAGCACTTTCCTGTGCCATAGTAAAAATTAATATGGCAATTCCAGGAGATGAGGAAAATGAGACCGAGGAAATGAGGTAATTTTCCCAAGGGCACAGAGTAGTTTAAACCCTGGCAGTCAGATCGTGGGATCTTCTCTCCTATTTTCCATTCATAGAATCAATGTTGCTTTGATTCTGTGAGGGATAAGTTTCTGCTATTTGAATGAAATGGGATGTTGGACATCTGTAGAATGCCAGCAGATAAGAGAGAGCAGTGTTGGGAGAAAGGCACTGCAGAATGGCGGGACCAGAGCCTCATCCCTTACTTTGACAGATTCCCCTAGGGAGTCACTGAGGTGTCTCTCCGTAACCTTGTATGACTTCAGAGAAGTGGGCTGAAAACCAAATTGTGAATGACCAAACTTTAGTCATAGGATGAGATCACACCCTTGAGTCTTGACCATAGTTTGTACAAAGGCACTGCATTGCCTCGTTTAGAGGAATAACGTTATCGCTTCTACTTTTGGAGTGTATACTTAGTACAATTCAACTAAGAGTAATGGCAGTGAAATGTAATTCCTATAGACCTGAGGGTAATAATTTACTTTCTGGAGGTCTGCACTACACCCGAGACTAGCAATCCACCTTATATTTATAGCACAGATGGCTATGGTGTAATTTATCACTTACACGTACGTACCAGGGCATTTGGTACATGCTTTTACCGTCGCTAATTGTCAAATTAAGTAGTAAAGTTGCATCACAATAGAAAATGGTTTTTCCTTCACAACATACTATGTAGTGTTTTTCTTTAACATATCTTACCTTTTCATATTTAATTGTCCTACATTTCCATATATTTCAGTGACAGTTTTATTAAGCCTGTATCAGAACCTTTCTGGACCAGATATTGTAGGTATAGATGGTGCTGTAGGTTGTGTGTAATTACTAAAAAGATTTCTGACAGCTTGTAAGTATGGAGGCATTTTTAAATATAGTTGCCAACTTGGATTTGAATCCCATTGTAACCTTTAGCTGGGTTATAAGTTGTTTATCTTTTGATTCTGGTTTCTGACTCAACAATGAAGGTAATGATTATGATTGTGAAAGAAATGAGGTGAAGTCTAGCAGAAGCCTGGTGTACACTAGTCACAGTCCAGTGCTGGGGAGGGAGGGAAGGTAGGAGGGAGGGAGAAAGGGAAGAGGGGCTCCCCCTTTTTTCTGAACAGTGATTAGGAAAGTGATGTAGTCAGAAAATACTTAGTCCTTTTGATTGACGAATGCTTCTGTTTGACTACATTTGAACTTACGTGGATCTTCTATTTGATTAGTTTATATTAAGAGTCTGATGCCTTCCAAGTGATGATGACTAGTGGAGACTCCTGTAATGTTCAAAAGCCATGCATTCATCATACATTCTTTGTTGGGTTTTTTTTTTTTTTAATTTATTTATTTTATGTGTATGAGTGTATTGCCTGCATGTGTAAGTGTACCTGTGTCATGCAATGCTCCTGGAGGTCAGAAAAGGATGTCAGATTGCCTGGAACTGCAGTTATGAACAGTTAACCGCCACGTGGGTACTGGGATTCATTCAAGCCCGGGTCCTCTGCAAGAGCAGTCAGTACTCTTAACCACTGAGCCATCTCTCCAGCCCCTTTTTTGTTGAATTGTACATAAACTGTTTGAAGGCAGTTTTCCTGGTGGACATTTGCAGAGGTTTTCTGGAGTGGCTAGTCTGGCTCAAACAGTGCACTGCACAGGGATCTCCTTCCTTTAGATTGTTCGCTTAGGTGTGTATCTTGCGAGTTTGGGTGGCACAGTTAGAAACTCTACTTGTACAGTTCAGTCTTTTGATAAAGTGTGTGTACATTGTACCTGATGTCTGTTGCCTTCCAACATATGCCTTAACTTGAAGTTTTTCTAAGTAAGTGCAGTCACACACTCCGTTTCCTCTCCATATCACGATGTCTGCCTGTTATCACAGAAATCCATTTGCTGCAAGCTCTGCATGATAGTTATTTTACCCTAGTTTTTTATCTACCTAGTTGACATATTCTTTTGGGCTGATACGTTCTATTGTAGAAAGCACAGTCTCAGGTAATTACTAGTATAATTAAATGTCCCTGGTGCAAACCTTGTTGCTGTAAATGAGAATGCTTTTCTGTGTACATACGGATAATTGGTGTTTGACAGAAATTATTTTAGGTGATTTTTAAAGAACATTTTTCAGCAATTGGGTAAGTCAATAACTGTGTTTTACCTGATATCCAAAGAGATCAGGCTTAAGGATAAAAAAGTCTTAGCAGAGTTCTTTGTAGTTCTTTGTAGTGCTTCTTTGTAGAAGCACTGTGTACTACCAGTAGGACAGGAAGCCTTAGCTGCTCATTCCTATACAGCGGTGATCTTAAAATGTGACTCCATCCCAGGGCCGTGGTCCCTTCTTGTGAGCTGTAGCTATGTTCCTCTTCTGTTAACCTGGAGCTGTGCAATATCTACCCACCCCACCACCCCTTGCCCCCTGTGAGCAGAGGAGCTGTGTTCCATTCCCATGAACTCTTGTGAGCTAGAGCTATAGTCCTCTCCTGTGAACTCAGATCTGTGATTCCTCTCTCGTAAGTCTGAGCTGTCATACCACCCCACCCCTATTCTGAGCCAGAGGAGCTGTGTTTTAATCCCATGAAAAGGAGCTGAAGCTATGCCTCCTTCTGTGAGCTGGAGCTTTGATCTCATCCTGGGAGTTAAAACAGTATCTCCCCCACCCTTATGAGCCAGAGTTGTGGTTCCCTCTTTTGAACTAGCGCTAACCCTTACTGTGAGCCACAGTTCACATTCCTCTGGTGGTAGGTGATGGTGGAGCAAAGTAGAGCATGGAGGACTATTCATGGTCACAGCAGTTTCAGTCTTTTCTGAGTGGTTATATTCCCCACAGCCCCTTCCCCTGAGGGTACAGGTTGCATGGCAGAGGCTTTGCTGCTAATGGCTAATGTGGTGGGCAGTGGAGGCCTCTGTTATTTGCAGATTCTGGATTTGGGAAGACTGCATCTCTGGAATGGACCACCCACGTCCTCTGAGGCCCAGCCATGGTCTTCACTCCACACAGGATCATGAGTATCCAGACCTTGATGTTGGACCTCTCCTATTACCAGGAGGCACCAAGAGGGTTTCCATTATTTTTTACTGCTCTTCTTCAGGCCCTTATGCCTTCACCTATGTCCTAATTGAACTTTCAGGATAAAAATGAGTCTGGGAAGTTAAAGAAAAAAAGAAAGGAAAAATAGAAAATACTGTAATAACTAAGCTGATATTTTTCTCAAGCTAAAAATATCTAATTAGATCTGAGAATATAAATTTGTAATTCTGTGTCTACTATAATTTTTGAATTACTGACAAAACTATACTGCCAAGCTTCAACAGTGTAAACTTTGTCACTGTTCCTGTAATGTGAGTTTGTCACTCCTTTTCCAAATATCTCTACTTACACAAAGTCTTTCAATGTAATCGTGTTATTTTTTAAAGAAAGCAATGATAATAAAATATTTAAATAAAATATGACTTATAAATAATATGTGGATCATACGCACATCTTGCTGGTTAGCCTAGGCAACACAGTTTGATAGTCTGTTTTTTGAAGACTATTAAAACCTGATTAAGAAAACACTGCATATAAACAGCTGTGTGATCTCTGTGTTCTATATTTCATTACGTTGTTTTTATGAATTAGAACTCTAGTTTTTCTCAAGTGGCATGGTTCTCTGGCATTTCATTGAATAGTGATGGATTGATGTACATCACAGCAATACAGAGGATTTATGTTGCTTGAAAATAAAAGAAACATGTAGTGTTTATTTTACATATAGATGGTAATGCATATTTATTGCAGTATTTAGTAAAAAAAAAAAAAAAAACTGTCTCTTAAGTTGAAGTACGTCTTTTTACATAGCATATTCCACGTGCCTGTGGGTCTCTGGATTTCCACATGCTTCTGTGCTAGAAGATACTCTGGGAAACACCTGTAAGAAACCTGGGGTGAGCTCCATCCCATGTACACACTCCAGAGAGGAAAGCTGAAGGGCTTTAGAAATAATTGAAGTCTGATCATTTATAATTAAATCACCAGGAAGCTAGGCCTGGTGGCTCATGCCTGTAATCTGTAACCCCCGCACCTGGCATGCTGAGGCAAGAAGATCTCAAGTTCGAGATCCTAGCTGGAGAAGTAGGAGCCTTGTCTCAAAAAAGCGAGCAGGGAAAGACCAGGTTTCAGGTGGCCTGGATGTGTCTTACTGTTGTGTGCTGTGTGCTGTGCTGCTTTGCTGTGGCTTATGGCAGCCAGCAGTATGGAGAAGATGAGGGGACAGAAGAGCCTGTCTGCGAGAAAGCGGAGCCATTTGAAAATGGAGAATTTATTTATGCAAACTTCAGCTGAACAGAGGGATTACTGTGAAGTTAAAATGTAAAAATTGAAAAATGCGTAGATATAGACGGCAAGAATAGTTCTGAGCAGTGGTGCATTAGCCAGGAGGGATGGTCGCATCAAATGAGAATTACTGATTTCTTCATCTCCTGAAAGATAAGAGGATCGTGTTAATGTGTATATAGTTAGAAGATGGCTACTGGAAAGGCTAGGGTGGAAGGTGGATCAGCTGTTGTCTAACACTTGGAACATTTTCTAGTAGAAGTATCAAGGGTGTGGAACACACAGACATTCACTTGCATTGTCTGGGAGAAAAGATGAGGAGAACTGTTTCCTCAACTCCTAGGAGGAAATATTCCAAACATCAAAACTGATAGCTCTATAATGTGGAATATTGGTTAGTACAAAAATAAGTTATGTGAATAAAAAGTGGAGAGTATAGTAGCCTGGATTCAGCTACATCTGCCTGATAAAAGGTAAAAAGGTATGCTTACCTTCTTACAGATTTGAGCAATAATGAATGAAATGCTCTTTATTTGGGAAGGGTTGGTATTAGTCTAGAATGTTTCATCAACAGTGTAGAAGAGGATCACAGAAAGAACGTGCAAGCTAAACTTCCCACTCCCAACAAGCTACCCAAATGCTGGTGTTCTGTGAGCAAAGAAGGTCAAGCTTGGTGATGAAGCATCCTGTGCGGGTCTGGAAGGGTATAGTACAGTGAACTGCTCGCCTGGCGTGCATGAAGAACAGGGTTCAATTGCCAGCACTTGGCATGGTGACACTCTGGAGGTGGTCACAGTATATCACAGACGTTGAAGGTCATTCAGTCATACTCCATTACATGGACAGTTCAAAGCCAGCCTGGACTAGGTGAAATCCTGTCTCAAAAAAACAAAGTATAATGTGGTTAGTAAGTATACATAAACACACATAGTTCTTTCACATGTAGATGGTTTTTAAAGATTCTTTTTTCTTTCCCAACAGGGATATAGCTAGTGCAATAAAAGAACTACTTGATACAGTGAATAATGTCTTCAAGAAATATCAATACCAGAATCGCAGGGTAAGTTGCCACCCTAGATACTGGCTTACATATAGTTATTTATGAATTATATACTAAGAGACTTTGATTATTAGAAATTATGTCATTGAGTTTCTGCTCAGATGTAAATATTCTGTGATATGTAAGTAAACAGTCCTAAACAACTTTATATGAACATGCTGTGTGTAATCTCTGCTCTTGACTTTGTTTCATGTTATTTTTCTTAGTTTTTCTTTTTGTAATTTTAGGCACTTGAACACCAAAAGAAAGAATTTGTAAAGTACTCCAAAAGTTTCAGTGATACTCTGAAAACATATTTTAAAGATGGCAAGTAAGTACTGTCATTTCCACTTTTCTATGAAAATTAAAGATATGGTGTGTTTTTTGTAGGGTATTAAACCATATAAATGGGGCTGTGAGATGGCCTCACTGATAAAGGTGCTTTCAGCCTGGCCTGAAGCCCTCAGTGCAGCTTACGCAGGAGCTGTCAAGACTGTTTTTGGAAAAGTCCAGATAATAAATGTAGGTGTTAACATTGAAACTTTGTACAGTCTTCGTCTGTCTTTTACTCTTTCTTATGATTATTTTAAAGCCATTTAGACATAAAAACACTTTTACTTTACTGATTTGTACCGACCCCTCATAATTGTTCTCAAACTTTGGTAGCAGTTGATTCAGTAGGTCTGGAGTTGGGATCTAATAACGTGCATTTCTAAAAAGTTTCAGGTGCTCTCAAAGCTGTCAGTCCCTTGAGAAATTAGTGCACTGGAATTGAAGTGATGATTCTCAGTCCTGTTTTCGTGTTAAAATCATCTGTGGTCAGTTTTTAAGAATCTCATTGCTGGAACTCCACTTTGAGAGGTTTCTGATCATTGTCCCGGATGTGAGCAGGTTCTGGATGCTTTGTAAATGTCCAGGTGCCTTTCAAGTACTGCCGGACTAGTGATCCACTGTCCTAGAGGGAGGGAAGGCGGCTTCCCTTGGTGATCTGTTAAAAAAGAAAAAGCACATAAATATTTAAGAAAAGCATATGAAAGACGCAGTACAGCTGGCAGTAGCACTCTACCTAAATCTAGAGACTGTGGAGATGGTTTGCTTTATGTCTGTGCTCACATTTAACTGATGGAGTCATGAGTCCTGCATGCTGTTTCACATAGGTGTTCATTGTGCCTAAAACTGAATGCCAGAAATTTTTTTTGCAAAAGACCATTTTTAATAGTGTGAAAATTTAGAAAAATCATGTAAATAGGCACCACAAACATTCTATAGTCCATTGAACTTTTAATATCCTACATAAAATGCCACCATTACAATATTGTAATAATATTTTTAAATAATAAAAATACATTGATTTGAATTTCTGTGGTCAATTTTAAACAATTTAGACAGATTTATATTACGAGTTACAAAATACTGAGTTACATTAATGGCTTTATAACATTCCATATATGTGTTAAGTTCTAGGGAAAATGATCCTTGGTGACTTAGTTTAATGGAATAGTGATCATGTTCTGAAAATAAAAATCTGTTTTTCTTTTTGTCTCCTAAACTGAGCCCAAATAACATTTTTTTAAAAATCAAAATATATTTACATAATGGCATAATTATTTCTAATTTTAATTAGTCATTATATGATAAATACTGAAAGGTTCATCAGCAGTCTAAAATTATTTATGTATCTGAATTACTCTGGCTTGCTGTTATCGTTTTTTTCTCTGTTTAGCTTTAAATTTTTTCCTGCTTTGTTTAAAGCAGGTCTTATGAGTTTTGCACTTGTTTCCTCTCAATAGAAAATAAATAGAGCCAGATCATTAAGACATTTGTGCTAGGGAGACAAATTTGCAATTATTGAACTAACTGATTTCTAGCCTCTTAGTTAAGAAGTGTTTTAAGGTGAAGATCCAAACTTTAGCCATGTACAAAAAAACTGTTAAGACCACACAGTGGGAACTAAGTCACACAAAGACGAGCCATTGACAGTTACATGGGAACTGCTTAAAGAAGCCCTTAAGAGTGTTTTTGTAGTCTGTCACATCCCAGATACTGAAATCACTTGGCTGTTTTTTTTAAGTATTTTTTTTTAGTAGTAGAAGTAGAATTGTCATTCTTTCTTTTTAAAAAAATGGTTAGATGGGGCTGGAGAGATGGCGCAGAGGTAAAGAACACTGGTTGTTCTTGGAGAAGATCTGGGTTCGAATCCCAGCACCCACATGGCAGCTAACAAGTGTCTGTAACTCCAGTTCCAGGGGATCTGACAGCCTCTTCTGACCTCTGCGGGTGTATTTACCTACATGCAGGCAATACACGCATACACATAAAATAAAAATAAATAAAAAATGGTTAGATACAGATGAATAGGATTAGAAGTAATAACATTTTCTTGAAGTGTTTCTCATGCCCGTTGATGCCAGATATTATTGTGCCATTATCAATCTCGAGGCTACATGTGCTTCACTAACTAGATGGAGAGTGCATCTGAATCCTCTTGAGCATATGAGATTTGATTTTAACAGATTTTTTTTTTAACTTATTTCAGCGTGTATATGAAATCACAATTTGAAACCATTCTGAATCCTCCTCTTTGCCCAGTGATTTGTTTAGCTTTTAAATTAACTGTGGTTGGAGTGGTAGCACCCCTCATTAGCAACCATCAAACACCTCATGCCAGCCAGAACCACCAGGGAGGGGTAATTCCTAGATACTATAATTTGAAATACTGTTAGGACATTAAAATCCCAAACTTTTTGATACTCAGTACCAACTTTCCTTTTCCCTTCTATTTCATTGCTACTGTTGATAGATGATGTTAAATAGAAATACTTTACTTTGAAAGAGTGAATTTGGGGAAAGAAATTAATGCTTGTTCTCTTTCCTTTTAAACAGGGCAATAAATGTGTTCATAAGTGCCAACAGACTAATTCATCAAACCAACTTGATACTTCAGACCTTCAAAACTGTGGCCTGAAAGCTGTATATGTTAAGAGATGTATTTCTCAATGGCAGTATTGATCTGCCTTTATCTGTAAATTTTAAAGTTGACTGTATAAATTATCAGTCCCTCCTGAAGGATCCAATGCAGGATGCTGAATGGGATAATTGCCATCTTACACCATATTTTTGTAAAATGTAGCTTAATCATAATCTCACACTGAAGACTTTGCATCACTTTTGCTATTGTTCTTTTAAGAATTATAAGCCAAAAGAATTTACGCCTTAATGTGTCATTATAACATTCCTTAAAAGAATTGTAAATATTGGTGTTTGTTTCTGACATTTTAACTTGAAAGCGATATGCTGCAAGATAATGTATTTAACAATATTTGGTGGCAAATATTCAATAAATAGTTTACATCTGTTAAACATTTCTTTACTTGAAAAAAGATGTGTGTGTGTGTGTGTGTGTGTGTGTGTGTGTGTGTGTGTGTGTGTAGGTGTATATATGATCTGAAAACCATAGCCAACTTGCTGTAATGTCTAAAGATCTAACGAGAGCTTGCTAGTAGTTAATCAAATAATAAAGCAACAAGAATTCCTATTTTGTCCTTAATCACTCGGGCCAAAACGTAGTTAGTTGAAATAGATTAGTTATTACATACAAGGTACTGGATATTTTTTCATTATTTCCAATATTTGAAGACACTTCTGAGAACGATAGCAGTCTTCACACTGTAATACCACTTTTTGAACTACAGTTTTGTAGACTTTACTCATTATTTCTATTAGGCTAGGTCTAAATAAGCTTTGCACACTGTTTCCCCAAAGTAGCCACAATTGATGATAATATAAAGAGCTTTACCAGTAGTAGGACTGAAATTGTTGTGAGTGTTTATATAATACACACTCTTTAAATATGTATAATTTTGTTTCACACTAGAAAACTTTTAAGGAGAATATGTATCTAGTATTCATGTTGAATGATGTAAGTTAAGTATGATAAAATAAGTAATCTGATTTTGTTTATTTTTTATAAAGAAATTAAATATTAAACTAAACCTGTTGACAGTATAATTTTTTGCTTTATTATAATTTAGTTAAAATGGATTTTTAAAGAATTGCTATGGGGCTGGAGAGATGGCTCACCGGTTAAGAGCACTGTCTGCTCTTGCAGAAGACCCGGGTTTGATTCCCAGCACCCACATGGCGGCTATGAACCGTCCTTAACTGCAGTTCCAGGGGGAATCCGAAGCCCTCTTCTGACCTCCACGGCATTGTACGGCACAGGTGCACTCACAAGCATGCAGGCAATACACTCATACACATAAAATAAAAATAATAAAATATTTTTTTAAAAAGTTGCTGTCATTGACAACAAAGACCAAAATTGTCCTGAGAGATATAAATATGTGAAAGGAAGTAAAACAAAACCACAGATAACTGACTGAACTCTTAACATTTATGAACATGTTCCTGACTTATCTTTTTTCTTCAAGAATACAAAACTTAAATAGGATTGGTAATCTTTGAGTATTTTTAGCAATCACCATTTGCTGTTGGACGTAGGTGTGGTTATTTACATGGTGGCCTTGTGAGTCTATGGAAGGGAGGAGCGTGGTACTCTCAGCTTTTCTAGCCACACACATCATCTCTCTAGTTTTGTTTTCAATCCATCCTGGGACTTGCCAGTTGCCAGACATGCCCCAGATCACTTGTTTCTTAGGCCACCTCTGTTCGTTCTGCCATCCATTCTTTTATGTGGCTTCTGTTGTGGTAAAATGTGTTTCCGGAAAGAAAGCTCATTCTGAATACCAGTTACTTTGATACAGCCAGTGTGGCCCTGATCAGAAACGGCTTCAGGAGAAGGGGCAAGGAAGAAGGTACCTGCACTTGGCCTTCTGTGTTCAGTTCTATTAGAAATGCATTTATTTCATCTTATGAGTCTTGTAATTTAACCATGTGCCTTAAACTAAGAGACAAGAGGTGACAACACAGCTGTCAGCTGGGGACTGAACTCTTGTGTTCCTTATCTGGATTATTTTCTCCAGGCATCTCTGCCCCTCTTAAAAGAAATCCACTGTATAGGAAGGAAGCGAATTCCTGACCACAAAACCCTTTTCTGGTACACTGGGAAAAGGAAAATTAGCAGTGTGATTTCTTTTCAGCCATCTAAATGTATTCATTTTAAAGGCTTATTCTTTATATGAAGATTGTTGAGATGTTCAGAATGTCCCAACTGTTTTTGTACATGTAGTAAATGATAGGTTTTGGTTTTTTAAAATTGGGGACAGTGACTGGGTGTGGTGGTGCATGGCTTTAATCCTAGCACTCAGGAGGCAGGGACAGGCAGATCTCTGTGCTTGAGGCCATCCTGGTCCACATGGTGAGTTCCAGGCCTGCCGGGGCTAAAGGGAAACCCTGTCTCAAAAAGATACCCCCCAAAATAAAGGAGGAAGGTGGGAGGAAGGAAAAAATATTGGGGACAATATGAGGGTGACATGCCAGTATCTGTCCTTTTTAACTTTTTATAAAGTTTTGATATTGCAGTAGCTTCAAGTTCATAACAGACTTGAAGAGAATAAAATAGTACAAAGAAAAAAGCATATGCTTCTTAACTAATATTAACATCGTTGAATTTCTCCCCATGTTACCATTTCCTTGTTCGCCTGCATTGCCTGGATTTCCCCTTACCCAGTGCTCAGCATGGCCATCTGGTCTTCCATGGCCTCAGTCGTTAGCTATTCCTACATTTGAGATTTTCTCATGATTAGCTTCAAGTTACGCATCCTTGTTCAGGGTGCTGCGTTACTGGCCGTCATCACTATGACATCTGGATGCAATCCCCCCCCCCCCCACGGCACTAGTTCAAACACTCGCTGTACACTTCTGCTTCTCCAGTGTGTAGTTAGTGTTTTTAATTTTCAACTGACAAGGACTCTATGGGAGGCTTTTAAGTCCTTGCTGTCATCTTCCCCAAGGGATGAACATGCATGGATGCTGCTTCCCTCTAATGGCTGCCGCATGGTGATTTTCTAACGCCAGCTCAGCATTTAACATCAACTACAAACAGAGGTACTCTTTCCCCAGTCCACCTATCCATCCATCTGCCTATTTCCACCTGAATTTTTATGTTACAGGGTTCATAAGTTTTTACTTTTTTACCCTAGTGGTTTATATTAGTCTACTTTGGTACGCAGATTATTTCAGATTTGGAAAATAGCTCATTGCCACTGGTTCCTGGGTCCTGTGGCACCTCTTTGTGTTGTGTATGTATGTGTGTTCATGCCCCCCCCCTGCCCTCCCATTTGTTAATAAGGCATTCCAGAAAGTGGGATCAGCAGTTTCTCCGGAGAACCTGAGGATAGATCATTAAAGCCTTGGGTCTGAGTCTTGGGTGTTTTTGTTGCTTGTTTTAGGAAATGTGTGCATACCTATGTACAAATATATTCTGTGTGCGCACACACTGATCTCAGAAAGGAATTCACAGTACCATCTTCAAATTCAAGCTACTCTGCTCTTTCTTGCCCTCTTTTTCTTTAAAATCCCAGTTCCAGTCACTTCATTCATTTGCTCCGCATCATAATGTATCTCAGTCTTAGGATCCTCTTATGTCACTGAAAAGTAGGATTTGTTTGTTTTTCTCCACTTACCTGTCTCCTCCGAGTCTAAAAATGTTACATTATACATTCATAAATTCTACTTTTAACTGATAATCAAAATACGATTGAATTCTTTTTTCAGTTCACTTGCAGGTTTAAGGTGCTTTCCATCACCCTCCCCATCCCTGTTGATTTAATAATTTTTATGTATTAAGAGCTTTAACATGCTGGTAGAAATCAGAAATGCACTGAAACATTCAAAAGGGAATCTTGCATCCCTTCCAGGTCACTATCCCTTTCTTGGTTATTGTTTTTTTGTTTGTTTATTTGTTTTCTCCTGTGTTTCTTTTTATAATGAAAAACATAAAAACACCCCTTTTCCCCCTTCTTACCCTTGAGCCTATCTGTAGAGAGGCAAACCATTGCATTTGGCCTAGGACATGAAACTTCTGGGATACAGAACGTTAAAATCGGAAAATTTGAGCAGATGGTTGATCATGGAATTGGTCTGTTTCTCTTTTTTATAACACAGTACAACAGATTAAGTTATAGACAGGTGTATTTTAGTTTACAGATCTGGTCCAAGGGTCAGAGGCTGTGTCAGTTGAGAGGCCAAGGGGGAAGGGCAGGGACTCTCACCACATGGCAAGGCATGGTGTGATAGAGAACCTCTGGTTTACAAAGCTGCCCGTATTCAGTTCACAGGGGTCCTTCCTGATGACCCTCTCCAGGCTTACCTTTCCAAAGGCTTCACTGCCAAACCCTGTGTGGATTAAATTTCTATCCACTTAGCAGTTTACAATAGGGATTAAACTCCAACAGGAATTTCTGGAGAGGACAAACATTTTCAGACTAGTAGTCATCCTCTGTATGTGCATTTGTGTTTTGGGTTTGTGTCTTCACTGTGCAGCCCAGGCCAGCCTTGACCTCACCATCCGACAGCTTCCTAGGGCTGGGATTACTGATGTGCACCATCACACCTAGCTCCTCATAATGTAAAACCAAGCATAATCACCACAAAAGAGCTTTGCAGTTCGGTATTTTAATTATAGAATTCACGTTCTTAAAAATGCCGAGGCAGCATAATACCACAAAATCACTTATTTTAGCTGTACATTTAGTGGTTTAAAAATAAAATAAGTATGGAGTTGGGCAACCTAAACACGTGTAGAACATTGTCATAACACCCACTTAGCTATTCCTAATTCTCAACCCCAGCTCCAGGCAAGCCAGCTATTTCCTGTCTCTATAGGTTTTCCTTTTTAGGCCATTTCATATAAACGGACTCATACACTGTTTTGCTTTGAGTCTCTCTGGCTTCTAACTCAACCAGGTAGTAGTATATAGTAAGTATTTTACCATGCCATCATGCTCCGTATTTCCTTTATCCATTTCAAGTTGATTGGCATTTCAATTACACATTATTTGTTGTGGTGCATAATGCTGTTAAAAACTTTCACATGGCTTTTTGTTTGAGGGTAGATTCTTAAGAGTGAAACTGATGTTGTTCAATAAGTTTATATATAACTTTTTAATCTTGGAGTGTGTGTGTGATGTGTGCATGCACATGCAAGTACATGTCCCCACCTCCCACCTTTGAGACAGGACCTCTTGTGCTCTGCTATGTACAAGGCTGACTGACCCACAAGCTTCTGGAGACGCTCCTGTTTCCACCTCCTATCTCAATACAAACAGCCACTACTGAAGTCTTTATGTGGGTTGTAGGATTCTTCATCAGTTGCTAAAAGTCCTTCTGGGAAGGGCAAACGCTGTCCAGCCCCCTCCTCCCAATGTCCTTATGACAAAACAAGGGATAATGTGGAGAAC